TATTCAGTTGTGGCAGCGGATTTGCCTTGTCTAATATTCTTGTCTTAACTTATCTACTAGGATGGGACTTGCCTTAACTTGCTAACCAGGATGTCAGTTCCATGTTCATGTCTCTTTCTGCCAAGTAGGATGTCAGTTCCTAGGGAGGTCTTACCAAACTTTAATTGACCACTACTCAAAATGAAAGTTTTGTTCCAAATAGTTTCTTATATTGGTGCAGGCATCCCTCTTATGTTGGGGTCCATCCCAGGGGCAGCATATACCATAAAACATTATATACAGGTGCAGGAAGTGCTGTTGGGTTGTTGGTTTGGGTCCGACCTTATTGTGGGTAACTATGCAAAGCAGTTCAGAACATAACAGTATGTAATCAACTTGGGCATGAGAAAATTTTCTAATAATAGTAGAAACAATGCATGAGAAAGTTTTCTTATGTTATTAGTAACAGTACAACATGGCAGGCTAGCCAGGGAACAGTTACCTAGGCAATAATATTTTATGTAGGCATTAACATCCATTTAGGCCTTGATATTTTACCCAGACCTTAACAGTTTATATAATATTCCACTTGATTCTAAGCCCATTCGGAAAGAATGAGTCAGCTTAGTGTCCTTCATGTGCCTAGTAATTGCAAGTCCTGAGATGGAACTAAAGTCCAAGAAGTCTTCTGCTTATTTGCTTACTAGTTATAATGTTATTAGTTATCATTGTTATTATGCTCCCTTTATAGTGTTTGGGTAGTGTGTCAAGCGTGTCAGGTCTTTGTATTTACTGTGTAGAAGGAAGTGTGGTCTAGGTTTGGAGAACAGGCCAGGCAAAGCTGTGGGGCTGGAGCTGGACAGAGGCTAACTAGGAATTGTCACAGACATTGGCCCAACCATAGCAGAACTCTGCTGAGGAGCAACAAGAAGGGGTTACGCTGCATGACTTTACTGTTACCAGATTCTGAAGGGCACTGCAATGGTAAAAATGTTTACTTTAAAATAATACCCCTGAAGGAGTGAATGTCAGTCTGAATTTTGTCTGGTAACTCATGATCATTAGTTTCTTATGCATCTTTTAAGGGATTCTCTGTGAATGCCTTCATATGACAGGATGCTGTACATGAAGTAGCTATGACATGGATTAGCTCTGACCTTCCTGGGAAAGAGTTAAGTTGCTTGTGGTCTTGTGCAGTAACAACTTGTGCTAGGATGAGTATTTTTACTATGATTTTAAATGCTTGTATATAAACATAGTTGACAAAAGCAAAAGCCTATGGTGAATGTATTCTTCATCTCTTGTCACTTCTGAGGTCTGTAGCTTGGGTTCAGTTGACTTTTTACTTCCAGGTTTCTAAATAGCATATCCCCCATTTCTAGGTTTTTTTTTTTTTTTTTTTTTTTTAAGTTTAGATGCTATTTCCTTACTTCTTACTCTTAAAGCTGAATTTTTTTTTTTAATTTTCTATTAACCTTGTACTATAGAAGTTTACCAGTACATTCAAGGTACAAAGTAATTTCCCATTATTGATTAAGTCCACATTCCACTATTTTGTCTCATCTCTTTTAATCTTTGAAAAGTCCTGTGTGCTGATTTCCTTTTAAACAATATATGTTACATTTTAATTGTATGTCTTTTTCATTTTTAAAAAAGTTCAAATAGCTTCATCCAGGGGCCTTTAGGGCAGCAAAAGTGATTTACTTTGTAAATATTTTTCTTTAATTTTGATGATTTCATACATGTATACACTGAAATATGATCACAGTGCATCCTCCTATATTCTCCCAATCCACCTTGCTCCCAACATTGCTTTTGATTTTTTTTTTTTTTGAGCTCCAAATTCCATTAGTGTTGCCCTATGTGAATGGGTGATGGACCATCCACTAGAGCATTGGAAACCTACCAGTGGCTACCCCTCAAATGATTCTCTCCCTGGACAACTCTCTTTAGCTCCTTCTTAGTAAGCCTCGAGGCCTGGAGATCATCTAGCTCGTCTGTGCTTTGGCTGTCGTGATCTTGTGTGGGTTTAGTGTGTTGCTTTTTAATTTCTGCAATCTTTTAAAAGCTTGCTCAGAGGATGTTTGGTGTTTTGACATTTCTTTATTTACAAGTAACCCAACAGAAATTGCTACAGCTGAAATAATTTGGTTAAAGTTGGGTTCATTTAAAATTTTGGTTAGTATCTCTTAGTTGTAAGATAAGGTTCTTTCATTCTTAGTATCCTAACTAGAGGCTGGCCGTTCCCTGAAGTCTGTCTTTGACACAGATGAACTCCATCCTCCAGTGTCTGCCTTGTATCTGCCCTTGAAATTGGCCACGCTTTCTCTCCACATACGTGGCCATCACACTCTCCTCACTGCTCCTTTCCTCAGAACCCACGCACAACTTGCTGACATTCCTCACATCTTTTCATGTTTGTTAACAACCTCAAGAAATCTAGTCTAGTCCACTAATTAGAAAAGGTCTGCTCATCACTTCCCCACTGATGTTAGCGGCTGCTAATTACATGATAGCGTATCATTGCTAGGGTGAAGCGGAGGAACTATAACAAAGATTCAAAATTATCTTAGGACAGCTTATATAAGATATCTTAGGAAGGAAATAAGAGGTTTAGAAACAGATTTTAGACACTAAATTCAGCGGTACCAGAGAAAGCCAGTAGACTGTGGGCTGACTGCATTGTGGAGGAGACATGCTGACATGGAGGGTTGGAAGTGAAGCAGCCAAGGCAGTGCTGAAATAGCCAGGTAGAGGTTCTGTAAGAAAGTTAAGACTCACTGGAAGGAGAAGCCTCAGGAAGAGGATGAGGTCAGTGTGAACTCACAGAGAGGTCAGAGAGGAGGAAGAGCCAACTCCCTGGGAGACCATTAAGTGTGGGACTTCCTAGAGAGCACATAGTTGAGTTGGAGGAGTTTCTAGAATGGGTGGCAGGTCAAATGCAGTGTTTTTTAGGTTGAAGGAGAGGCTACCTGTGCACGCTAACCTGTGAGTGACAGGAAGGAGATTCAAATGATGACGTCACAGACTTTAAACAGGGAAGACATGGAAGCTTGACAGCAGCGCATCTCAGAATGAAGAGTGGCTGAGAGAGGGCTTCTGAGTCAGAGGAAGGGGTGAGGCTATGGAACAGGTAGCCAGTAGTCCAGAGGATCACAGGTTCACATCATTTGAGATGCTTAGGAGTACAGGTAGCCTTGAATAATCATGTAGCCACTACTTAGCATTTTATTTCATCATTGTAGAGATACAGAGGTGAAGAAATACTGCTTTTAAAAGACATTTCTTTCTCTCTCTTTCTTATTTTGGATAAAGTCTCATTTTTTTTAGGCCAAGGTGGCCTGAAACTCATAATGTAATACAAGCTATCTTTAAACTTAGGATCCTTCTGCTTTCTGAGAGTAGGGAAATTAGGTGTGCACTACCATGTCAACCTTTTTCTGTCTTTACTGTGGAATCCAGAGCCTGGACAAACGTGACAGGGAGCCCCGGGGACTGCATAGCATTATGAACTTCCATTCATGAGTATTTTAGGAGCTCAGCAGTAAAGGTGGCTGGCTCTGAGTCATTAAGCCTAATCTGGGCTGAATAGTGAGTCTTAAGAACTACAAGGATGGTCAGTCTTCACTCTAGATAGAGAACAGTTAGGTTTGGCCAGGATGTTGCAACAGGAGATACACAGAAAGGTGTAAGAGGTTCATGTAAGGGACCAAGTAGAATTTAGTACTTAGTTATGGAAGAGGAGGTTAGGTTTGATCTATTAGTTGATGTAATACAAATTATAGGAGCTACACAATTATGGTTTAAAATCATCATATTGCCAGAGTCACCAATCACCAAACTTATATTTTGTCAATTTATCCCATGTAGTATGGTCAAAAAAAGGTTTTGTGAGTTTTTGAAAGTAATGGGTTTTGTAATGTCAGTGAGCAGCTTTTTAATAGCTTGAGAATAACGGGGCTGTGTACTCTCTTCTTAGCCTCTTCCTGAAAGCTCAATTTTACTTTAATGTTCATATCTATTAAAATGTGCACTGTGAAACTTTTGATCTTTCCAGAAATGTGGAGAACTGTGTTTTACTGATATGTGGTTCATGCGCAGAGGTAATTGGATAATAATGGTGTAAACACCTACAGGTCCTGGGGTTGGTATAATAAGCCAAGGGCAGGGAGTGCTCATCCTTTGAAGGCTTTACTTGTGTGCTGTGCTCTTGATGCAATACCGCCTCTGAGCAGCAGGGCTTACTTACTGCATGTGTATTAGTAAGAGCTCATGCTTTCACAGGACTTCCAGAGGAAGCAGGCATTCTGAGGGACAGCACCAGGAAGCTTTTGCTTCTGCTTATTGAATCTTCTTTAGTCTGCAGACTACCAGCTTGATTTGTGTCTACAATTGCTTAAAGAACAAGACCATCAATTAGCTGTGTATTGAAAGAATGGTCATATTGGGTCAAAACTTCTGTAAAAGGTAGATGGCTCCTTAATAGCAAGAAGCAGTGAAATATACTTGGTTTTTGGTTTTAAATGGGAACCTATGGATTATTATGGTCAAGATATCCTGATATCCTAGTTTTTTTGGGTACAGTTCTGGTTTGTACCCCTTGTCCAAACATTCTTTACAGTTAGGTACCCCTCTTCACTCTGAGAAATTCTCTCTCATTCAGATGGCAGGCCACATTTTCAGATTTATGTGTTTCATTTCAAGTCACTCAGAGGAAGTATCCCTTAGGTGTTGAAAGAAGAAGTTTGGAGGTGCTTGAGTGCTTGTGCCTTTCTCTGACCTCCCAACAAATAAATCATACAAGGTACTAAAGCGTGTGCTGAAATTTCTATTTGAATTCAGCAAGTGTGTCCATGGGGTATATAACCAGCAGAATCAAAGCCTTTGGAATAAAAGTATCCTTAATATTTTCTGGTGTGATTAAAGAGAGAAATAGGTAGTGTTGGGTCTTGGGTTTGTCAAATACTGGGCATGAACTATCTAACAATGACTCATGCTTATCTCTTCCTTTCTTCAATCAGTGCTAATATACTAAAGGAGCCCGTGTGCTTAGGAGGATGTGAGCACATCTTCTGTAGGTGAGTTGTTAGAGCTGATGTACACCGTGATGCAATTGTGATGTCTGTACATTGTCTTGGGTTGATCTTTAGTCCTGTTTCCATTTACAAATAAGAGGTAAGGCTCAGAGGGGAATGTCCAGAGTTCTAGAACTTAGTAAGCAGCTCTGCTAAGCTCTTGGAAAAGGAATAAAGCCTTTGACAGAATTCAGATGTGTCCCTCTTAAACCTGGTTTGAATGACTGAGCTAACAATCTTTCAAAATTTATTGAAGTCTAATGTTTAAATTTCCAACCATAAGTGACTTAAAACAGTAGACATTTATTGTACATCAGAAGGCCAGAAAGTCAAGTTCTAATACGTGTTGACAGAGTTTGTTCCTTCTGAAGACTGTGAGGAAGGATCTGTTCTCACCTAGTTTCTTGTGGCCTGTTACTGAGGTTTTCCATGGCTGTGACAATATCTGATTTTAAGAGTTGATGGGTGTATATTAGTCACCCTTTTGGTCACTATGACAGAATACCTGACATAAACTATTTGAGCTCAGAGGTTCACAGGCTGCAGTTACAGTGGTTGGCTTTGGTGAATTTGATGCTTGAACAGTAATTTTGTTTCTTGGGGTCAGTGTAATAAGCCAAGGGCAAGAAGTGTTCATCCTTTGAAGGCCTTGTGACAGAGGACACCGTGGTGATAGGAACATGTGCAGGTAGATGTTCTGTCGTGTTGGGCAGGAAACAGAGTGGGGATTTGTCACTAGGCATAACCTTTTAAGGCCTACTTGTAGTGATTTCTCTAGCTGGGCCCCACCTCCTAAAGTCCCACCTCCCCAAATAGCACTACTTAGTTGAGGACCAAGTGTAACAGTGAGTCTGTCAGGGACACTTGTAATATTGTATGTTCCTGTCACAGGCTCTAAAGCACTCATTTGAGATTCACACCATATATAACAGGGAGAAGGGCTTAATTTGATTCACAAATTTAGAGGTTTCTGTCCTTGTTCCTTTATACAGAGATTATATTTATCCACACCTCTATCTCCTTATGCTTTTAGGAGCCTTAGACTTGTTTGTTGGAAAACATAAGGCAAATTATCTTGCTAAATAATGTCACTGTAGTAAATTGATCAGAGATTTTACATATATGTGCCTATATTATCAGAGTACACTGTTTTACCATTCTATGTAAAACAACCTGTTTTTTTTACTGTTCATACTCCTTAGTGTTTGGAGTTCAGATTCTGCTGAATTTTCTTTTAATCTTTTTTAAGTGATTGTATAAGTGACTGTGTTGGATCAGGATGCCCAGTGTGTTACACTCCAGCCTGGATCCTAGACCTCAAGATAAACAGACAATTGGACAGCATGATCCAGCTTTATAGTAAACTTCAAAATTTGCTACATGACAATAAAGTTTCAGGTGAGTGATATTCCTTCATTGTTTTGTTAAAGAGTGGACAAATTAATAATGATAATGAGCACACGAACGAATGGAAAAGAATTCTGAATGATACAGTTCACATTTCAAGATTAGTAGTAGTGGGTTTTTTAAAAGTCATTCTGAGAAATGAGATAATTAAGTCTAAACTTTATAGATGAGGTGCCAAGGTCCAGGGGAGTTAACTGCTCTTGTCTGCAGTCAGATGTATAGTGAATATAAAAAGCAAGAGAAGTAGAGTTCATTTCGTGATGTCAGTCCTGAGAGGATCACACTGGCTTCACACTGACTGCTTTCTGTAGTTGGAATAATTTCTGTAGACTACAGATACTATAGTGATTTTATTTATAACAGTGCTTAATTCACTTTGGTACACTGTTAGAAGATAGAATACAGTACTCTTGCAAGGATCACTTTCTAGACTGAATTAATTAGGTGTACATTTTGAAAGAGCAAAAATCTAACGCTCATTTTCTTTTCTATTTAAATGGGGGTTAATGTTTTTCAAATTGTTCTTAGACTCTGCGTATTAACTATATATCTTCGCATTGTGCTTTCTGCTGAGAACTAATTGGCTGTGAAAAGAAAGTAGTGTTTTGAATTTTCATAATTGGATGTTGCAGTTGTCTTTTCATTGACCAAATCATATTATTTTAGCATGTGTTTATAGGAGACCCTGTCTGGCAGTATACCATGAAAGATTGATAATGGCAATATAAAATTGTTGGCTTTGTGTTTTTAAGTCGTTTGTTTTTGGATTCTGATGCAGTATTGTAGCTGTCAGCTACTAGTAAAGTTGATTGAACAAAATTAAACAAGGCAAATGCTTTTAAGTGTTATTGACACTGCTTGTATTTTTAAGAATATAAGTCATACTTAACCTGTGTTTACATTGAGTTATCTGATCTTTGTGCTAGTCTCCATTTTTAATGATGAAATACTAGTATTGTGACTTACATATATTTTGTAAAGGACTTGCTTTAAAAAGTATTGTGATTATAAGACTCCAGAATATAGTGATTTCATAACTGACTACTTGGTATTGGATAACTCCTTGGAGGACACTTTTCCAACTCCCACATTCCTTAGTTTCCTGTAGTTCTTTATTTAGGGTTGAGCTCATGAGCTCGTTTTTCCCTTTCGTGCTAGCATGTCTGTTGATGTCATTGGTTAGGGGTCTTGTTTAGGCAGCTATGACAGATATGTAAATGTAAATATACACACATGTATGTATGTATATAACTTATATATGTATAAAAGCTCTGTGTGTGTGTGTGTGTGTTGTGTAACAAAGAAAAAGAGGCCATGAATTTGAAAGAAAGCAGGGTGAGAGGGTAAATAGGAGGGGTTGGAGGGAAGAAAGAGAAAGGGGGTAAATGATATAATTACAACTGTAAGAAATAAAAAAAGTATAATACAATTGTAAAATGATTATAAAAAAGAATGCATTGAGGGACTAGAGATGGCTCAGTGGGTTAAGAGCTCTTACTTCTCTGGCAGAGGCCCTGTATTCCGTTTCCTAGCGCTTAGGCCAGGCACTTGGCACCTACAACTCCTGGCTTCCGTGGATATCTATAGTCATATGCATGTGCACATAGTAATAAAATTAAATCCTAAAAAAAAAAAAAAAAAAAGAAGACTGCATTGGGGAGAAAGATGTCATTAGTTCATCTGAGTGCTTTTCTTCCTTAAGAACAGTGTCTAAGCTGGGCGGTGGTGGCGCACGCCTTTAATCCCAGCACTTGGGAGGCAGAGGCAGGCGGATTTCTGAGTTCGAGGCCAGCCTGGTCTACAGAGTGAGTTCCAGGACAGCCAGGGCTACACAGAGAAACCCTGACTTGAAAAACCAAAAAAAAGAACAGTGTCTAATGGTGTGTATTTGGTGATTGAAAAGATTGTGTGTATGATCTGTCTACCCCATATATGTACTCTATTTTGACAGTGATTTCCAGTCAAGGTCCATATGTCCTTGGCAGTGTCAGAGTTGGGAATAGAGAAGAACCAATTAATTATTTGTACAGTTATGAGCAGTACATCTCTGAAAGTTGCTTTCATTTGATTCTTATAGGTATGTCTGATTGTTAAGATTATTGGCCAAACACTAACTTGTGGGATCTACTTTTGAGAGTCATAATATTTTAACTTGCCTCTTCTCCAGTTACTATGGAATAGTGCTGAGTCACTGCAGATGCTGTAACAGAGTGACAAACTGGGCAGCTCAAGAAAAAGAATCTGACTCAGTTCTGGAGGCTTGAAGTTTGAGCTTTAGGAGTGTCCTCTCGGAGATCTGTGGCCTGTATTTGAGTTCACTTCTTGTCTTCATGTTTCATTAGGGTACCCACACCAGTGCAGCTTCATCTTGGATGATTCTGTTTAATTCAGACTTTAACTAAGATTACATTTGGGGTACCAGGTATTAGTTATGGTTTCAGCATACGGATTTAAGGAGTAGAAGGAAGTTCACAGTTTAACACATAAATAAATAATTTGACATTTTTAATAGTGATAAAATGGGGCGAGGGTGGAGTAGCCTCTGTAAGCTAACTGCCATCTGTTATGGCTCACTAGGCTGTTAGGTACCTTGGGGGTACAAAAGGAATAAGACTAGACATTTGTTATAGTGAGTGGAGGGCATTAGAGTCCTAGTATAGTTTTGTATTTTGTAGGGAGTGGAAAAACTAAATTTCAAACAAGATTCAGAGTTGGACCTGAGCCCTTTTAGAATATGTTCTTACTGTTTTCCTATTTTGAACATTTTTTTTTTGGAGGGGGGGTTGATAGGTATTTGTTAACTTGGTTAAATTAAATTGTATAAAAATTTGAAGTTTGGGACTGGAGCTGAGCATCTGCACACAGCTGTGACTGCAGCTCTGCCAGAGCTGCCAGCCTACTCTAACCGTCTGACTTGTCATGCATGCACAGTATGAGCACTTACACACACGCACACACACACACACACTTGCATAATCTAAAAGAAGAAAATAAAACTGGCAATGGGCCTTAGTTACCTTGATAGGAAATCACAGAAATGTTAGAGAAATTTATTGAATATATCTACTCAGATACCTCTGTTTTTGCAATGCAAGTTTTTGGTTTTTTTGGTTTGTTTTCTATTTTAAAGCCACATCACTATCAGCTTTCTTTCTTTCTTTCTTTTTTTTTTTTTGTTTTTGTTTTTGTTTTTTTTTTTTTTCAAGACAGGGTTTCTCTATGTAGCCCTGGCTGTCCTGGAACTCACTCTAGACCAGGCTGACCTGGAACTCAGAAATCTACCTGCGTCGTCTGCCTCCCAAGTGCTGGGACTAAAGGCGTGTGCCACCACCGCCTGACCAGCTTTCTTTCTAATATTCTTCCCAAAACAAGCCAGCTTTGAAGGGTGTTCGGCTTTTCAGTTGTAAGTTTTTTTTCCCTCTAGAGTAGCTCCCTTTGCTTCTCTATAGTTTATTTCGTACATGTATTGAGGGCCTGTGTTAGTTTAGTGCAGACTTCTAAAACCAAATTTAAATGATAGAAAGTGAAATGTTTTATTAGTAGAAGGAACCAGGAATTGGGAACAAGTGAGGGCTCCTCTTCTTGTAGTAAGAAAATAATCTCTCACCTTAATAAAGATAATGATATGAGACTGAGTGATTCCTGAAGCCTGACTAACTCCAAATGACTTAAATGCTCACGTGGAAGACGATAAACCAAGTGGAGGGTCAGCAGCTCTCACATTTTCTCTATCTTTAAACAAAAACTTGTAGTACATTATCTATCTTCCCAATGAACCTTGTTACTTGCATTTACTATAAGCTACATAATTACTGTAATTGAGGTGGGTAATTAGGAAGAGCCTGTCAGCTCATGGACACGGTGCATGGTGTATTGGCGATGGAGCTGACTTACAGGAAGCTGTGTTAAGATGAGCTTCTAAACATTTCCACAGATTTTCCTTGGTTCAGTGTACTTTAAAGAGAAGAGGTGGTCATATTTTTCTGATGGCCATTTATGGGTAATTTTACCTTATTCTTTATAACAATCTTCTTTCTACTAATAGAGGTAAATTTAAAGTTTCTATTTTCCCTTGAACCTATCATGTGAAACAGCTCTTGCAGGTGCTGGTCACGTTTGTGGAATGTATTGGTGCTGGTGACATTAAAATAAAGAACCTTGATTATGGTTTCATAGATCACAATTTGCGTTTCTCTTCTAGTTTTGGGAGAGATGCTGGTCCTTCTGAAGTGATTACTTAGTGTTTCATATATGTTATGACTTTTTATTATCGATGAAGATGAATACTTGGATAGCCACGTAGCTGTTGTTATTTTAAATAGATCTAAATGCATTTTAACTTATTTTAACTTACAGAATAATTGTTCTTCAGGTGTTAATGTCACACAGATGGTATACAAAGTACTTCCCTTTGATTTATTTTTTTTTAAAGTAAGGAACTAGCTAGTCAGATTTTTCAACTTCTGTTGTGTAACTTACAATAGAGAATCATTTGGAAAGCACAATGTACATCGTTATAATCCTTTGATGTAGATTAACGATAGGGAAATCACATTTTCTAATTGCTTCTCTTTTCTACGCTTATTATTAAATTTTGAGGAAAAAAAAATCCTTGACTACGCAGCTCCTTAGTAACACACGTATCTCTCTCTGCTCCTTGATTCATAGTATATTCTAAAATATTTAAATTCAGAGAATAAGATTTTTTTTTAAGTGTCATCATTTAGAAATTTGCTATGCAGAGGCAGGACCAATGTTTTCTTCCTGAAATGAATATAATAATTTATCAAGCTTAGAAGCATTCACCCATAAAACAGTTGTAGCTGTTAATACTATGATTTATGTTCTAGCAACTGAGTTGTTTTGCTTTTCAGTTTTATCTTAGATGTGCTGCTTAAAATCCAAAATTTACAGTTATTGTTTGTGTTTTTGCTTGCTTAGTTAGAGCAAGTGGTGTGATTAAAGTCTCCAGGCAAAGGTGTTAGTGCATGGTAATCAATAGAATGATTGCGTGCATATAAATTACATAGTTGTGCACTCTTTATTTGCTCTTTTATAAGTTAGGGAACATGCTGCTGAGGTGAAATTTGGTATTTTTTTAGATTTGGGGTTTTTAGTTGATTGAATGTGTTGTGTTATCACTGCTTAATTTTCTTTAGCTGCCCAGTTCTACTTTTTATTATAAACACAGAGAAATCAAGATTTGACTTGTTTTCCATTGAAAATGTCATCATCTGCATTTAAAATAATAAATTAAAACCAAATACAACTTTTCACAGACGACTGGAGGATTAACCTTTAAGTCTTTGTAATCCTGAGGCCTTCTTAAGAAGCAATCCCTGCTAACATTTCATTTTGACCTTTCTCTAGACTAGAGATTGTATCAGAAGTGGCTTGGTTTTTAAATGTACTTATCACTGCAGAAGAAAGACCTTGCTGAGTTTAAACATCTAGTCTCTTTATGAATGGACATCTCATTCTTAGGATTTTCAAGATTCTGTCTCAGTAACACTGTAGACCATGTGGCTTCTTCAGAGTATAGTCCAAATGCTGTTATTGTTAGGCAGGGTCATGTGTGACATTCCTGCAGAGTTAAAAACTACTTACTTGTGTTTCATTTCCTCTTCCTTACCTAGGGTGCTTTTTACCTGGTGGCTGTGTTTATAAGATGGGAGGTGAAAGAAGAGACAAAGGAAGCAATTCTAGGCATTTAGGAATTGGTGGTCGAGCAGTAGAGGAATAAAATGTAACACTCCTTAGAGAACAGAAAGCCGAATTCATCAGTAGCTCAAGGTGGAGAAATTAATCCTCATAGCATGTTTCTTTTCCTTTTTTCTGTCAGATTCAAAAGACGACAAATCTAGGGCAAGTTTATTTGGTGATGCAGAAAGGAAGAATTCAATAAAAATGTGGTTTAGCCCTCGAAGTAAGAAGGTTAGATATGTTGTGAATAAAGTGTCAGTACAAACCCAGCCTCAAAAGACAAAGGATGACAAAGCCCAGGAAGCCTCAGTGTATGAATTTGTTTCTGCAACTCCCCCTGTGGTTGCTTCTAAGAGGGCTAAAACAGCTTCTAGAACATCTGCAAAAAAGCATCCGAAGAAGTCTGTAGCTAAGACCAACCAAGAGGGGAATTTCAGGCCAGAAAAAAAGGATAGTAGATTTGATTCCAAAGAGGAGCTGAAGGAAGAGAAGGTTGTCTCCTATAGCCAAACGCCAGCTATTAAGAGTCCACGGGTAAATGGCGAAATCGACTTATTAGCAAGTGGCTCTGTTGTAGAATCTGAATGTTCTGGAAGCTTGACTGAAGTCTCTTTACCATTGGCGGAACATATAGTGTCTCCAGACACTGTGAGCAAGAGTGAAGAGACTCCGGAGAAGAAGGTCTGTGTGAAAGATCTTCGCTCAGTAGGGAATAATGGAAATCGCAAAGGCTGCCAAAGGCCTCCCACTTCTACTTCTAAGAACTGTGGGAGCAATGTTCTGAGCACCAGCAGAGACATCAGTGAGCCAACATTGCTTGCAGAAAACGTAGTGTTGGTTGACTGTTCCTCACTGCCTTCAGGCCGACTTCAGGTTGATGTCACACTCAGGAGAAAGAGTAATGCATCAGATGATAGCCTTTCACCGGGCACACCCCCACCTCTGCTGAACAATTCAACTCACAGACAAATGATGTCAAGCCCCTCCACAGTGAAGCTGTCTTCTGGTATTCCAACTGGGAAAAGAAATCACAGAGGAGAGACCTTACTTCATATTGCTTCTATTAAGGTAGGCTGCCTACTCTGATCTTGGAATGAGACTAGATTGTTTGGCTCTTACTATAGCAAATACTTGAGATAATAAGAGTAACAACTTAATTTATCTTACAGAATTGGAAGTTTCAATTTGTGCCCAGTAGGTTCTGTTGCTTTGAACTTGTCATGGTAGATGCCTGTTGTAGAACATCTGTGTGTCCCCCTCCCTGCACTGCACCATCCATGAGAAGAAAGAGGTGATAAGGAAGGGGTGGGGATCCCATCCCCTCCTCATGGGCAGTGACTTGGAAAGCGTACTGTAAAAGATAGAGGTGAGAGGCTGTGGGAATGGAACCATGCCGTTAGCTACATGCTAGGCATCCTCTACTCTGAGCAAGGCAAATATTTGAAGTTAACCCTGGTTCTGCTTCATTTGATTTCTGTTAAGCCTGACTTAGAAAATTAATAGCTTTGGTCATTTCTTGTCATGTGTATAAAATATGTATATGCACACATAAACTATTGTAATGTTGTTAATGCTTCCCAGACTTACCTAGTTAATAATTATTATGCACCATTCAGTTTTCTATTAGTAAGATTGAGGCTGATGTAGTTTCTATGTCTCTCCCGGGAATTTTCAGACCACAAACCAAGCATTCCCTTAATTTGGTAGAGAATGTTATTCCAACTATGAGAAAAGTTTACTTTTATTAATGAGGATCTCTAGAGCCTAGCGTCTAGGCCAGGGCTCAATAAACTCTTAGGGGGCTTGCTAGAGAAGGTGTTCTTGACTTTACAAACTATATAGTATGTGCCTTATATTACTCTAGAACAGAAATAGCCATAGACAACAAGTAAACCAATTAACACTTGACATGAAAATTCAGGTGACTCACCCACAAACTGTAGATTATATTCTGTTGTCCTAGGCATGGAAAAAAGACAAAGCAGAACAAGCAGGAACATTGGGATATGATGGTGTCCTGGTGACTTTTCTTCATTGATGTGTGCATTGTGTTAGTTTTTCTAGAACCTAATTATCTGATATTGTTATTAGTTGACTTATTCTCATTTGCTATATTTAAATATGCATTGGTTTATATTTTTTTTTAGATCATTAATTAACAATCATGTTCTTTTAAAGTTTTTTTGTGAGCCGAATGTGTATTCCCACTTGTTTGATTTTTGTTTGTTTTTATAATTCTGGGAAACACACAGGGCCTTCCTCAGGCACTCTACCAATAGCTGAGTTTTCAGCTTGTGTTTGAATTTGATAAATATGATTTGGGAGGAAAAAAATATCAGTGGGCTTATCATTGTTGTTACCTTTTTAGAAATAGTTTTTATTTAATTCTCACCTTAATTTTTTTTATTTATAACAAGAATCAATTATTTAGATATACGAGGAAGCCAAACACTATAGTTCTGTAGCCTTATTTTAGCTGCATGTTTACCTAGTTCAGAAAAAGATTTGCATGGGCCTTAATATTACAGCTACCATAAAATGGAGCAAGGAGCAGGGACAGGTGTTTCTTGGCACAGTGAATTCAGATTTGGTGACCTGTAAGGCAGCCAGGCCAACAGAGGGGAGATAGTGGGTTTATGCAAGTCCAGAAAGAAGGCCTCCCCGGGCTGCTGCTGTGCTTGTTGCTTTTCTCAACGGCACATAGGTGGATTTGCGGCTACCACAGTTCATGCTACTTGTGATGGTTAATCTTGATTATCACCCTTTTTGGAGCCCGGTCAAGTGGTTTACACCTGTAACCTTAGTATTCAGGAAGCTGAGGCAAGAGTATTACTGTGAATTGAAGGACAACTTGGATTATGTAGCTAGTGCAAGGCTAGCCAGAGCACAAAATAAACACTTCTTTCCAGTCATTCCACTCCTGATACCAGCGTCTCTCTTAGTCAGTGTTCTGTTGCTGTGAAGAGACACCATGACCAAGACAGTTCTTATAAAACATTTATTTGGAGACGTACTTACAGTTTCAGTGTTAGTCCATAATTATTGTGGCTGGAAGCAGACAGGCATGTGCTAGAGGAGTAGCTTGAGAGCTTTACTTTGAGATCCACAGGCATCAGAAAGACAGACAGACAGACAGACAGACAGAGAAACACACAGAGACAGAGAACATGAGCCTATCAGGGCCTTTTTATAAATTTAAACTGTCACACATTTTACTACCTGATCCACATTGACTTGTAGTCACGTCACAGTGTAAAGTGCATTTAATCCAATTTCAGATGTTGCCATAGTCTTTCAGTCTCAACACTGTTTAAAAGTCTAGGAGTCTTTTCTGGGACTCAAGACAATCTCTGAACTGCAATCCCCTGTAAAATCAGCTTCAAAAACTACCAACATACAATGGCACAAAATGTATATTACCATTTTAAGGGGGAGAGTAGGGGACACAGTGAAGAAATACTGGACCAAAGCAACACTGAATCCCAGTAGGCCAGACTCCACATTCTGACTCTCCATGTCTGATGTAAAGGCGCTCTTCAGATCTCCGACTCCTTTCAGCTTTGTTGACTGCAGCACACTGGACTGGTTCTACTCCCAGTCTGCAGCTCTCCTTGCCAGATGTCACTACACCTTCCACATCTTGGGGTCTCCAATTCAATCCAGGCTTCATGCAATGACTTCCTTAGGACTGCATGCAGGTTCTGCCACATGCCTAGCCTCAAAGGCTCTCCTTAATGGAGAAAGAAGAATCCATACCCCTTGACCCTAGAGCTAGAACCTTGTGGCTAAAGCTGTCAGGTTCTGACACCTGAGAAGTAACCCTCTTTGACGTACATTTTCATAGGCTTTGTCTTAATGATTTCTAGACTGAGGAAATAAATGCCTTAGGCTTGTCCCTTCACAGGTTGCAGGATTAAGGTGGAGGGAGTCTTATCTTGAGATTCCATTTAGCAGCAAGCTTTCTAAGACGTTACTTGTTGGGCACCAGACTTGGCCCCAGCATTACACTCCTGGTGCTCTTTTCTCCTCAAACTATGTGGTTTATACTTGTCTTTGCTTCACTTGCTCCTTTTCATTATAGGTCTGTGTAATAGTGATCACTAATAACCACACAAGAAGTCAATACAAGGCTATCCTGAAATCTCTGCTTGTGCCATTAATCCAAAAACTCTTCGTTTTAGCCCCTTGCAATTTTTAGGAAACGAGAAGAAAGTAGCCATATTCTTTGCCAGTATGTCACAACAATGCGGCCAGCTAATACTAGTTTTTCCTTCTGAAACCTTTCAAGTATTTCACATCCCCTCAGCACAGTTATCCATGCTTCAGCTAAGATGGTCTTTTAAGCATAGCTTAAAGCATTCAACTGATTCTTTTAGTCCAGAGTTCCAAAGTCTTCCATATTCCTCCAAACAACAACATGGTCAGGTCTGTCACAGCAATATCCCAGTCCTTGGTAGCACCTTCTGTTTTAGAGACACCTACGGTATTAGTAAAACACACCTGTGTGTCTATGAAACAGATAATAAGATAATCCAGTCTTTAGAGGAAGTTGGTCATTGACAGTGTATCCTTACAGGCATATCTTACTCTAGCCCTTTTTCCTGTTATTTCTACTCCTCTCTGCCCCCTAGTTGCCATGATATGAATTGCTCTATGCTCTGTGCCACAATGGACCAAGCCCCAAGGACAAAAGAAAACTTTTGGTCACAGTGTTGCAGTAGTAAGCAACACAGAAGCGATTGATTGTCCTTCAACAAGTAGATTTTCTGAGATGTGTAAGACTCTGGCATTCCATGATGTTATGCAGACGTAATAGATGTTAGTATGTCAGCTTGAAGTCGAGGTGCTGAGAATCTGATGAATTCTAATTTTGAGTAGACAGACAGTCACTGAGAGGCTCTGTTTCAGAGTATGGCTTTAAAACTCATACTTCCAGTCAGTCCTGTTACATTGTATGTGAAGTCATGCTACTTTGTTTCCTTTATACTAGCTTCCTGAGAAAGTAAAAGAGCAAACTGAGATCTGTGACATGTTCAAGATTTTGTTTCTGGAGCATCACATGGAGTCAGCATCTAATACCTTCAGTTGGTCCCTCACCTCTGCCACTGTAATACTAGTAACTGTTTGTAGCATTGAGTTGTTAGGATTATTTGTTTATGAAATTACTTTCTTCTGTAAATTTTAAGAAGCCAGAGAACTGTTTACCATATTGCAGAATTCCATTCATAAAGGTCATTTTGTTTTCTCTTTTAAAAATGACATCTATCTTAGTTAGGGTTTCATTGCTGTGAGGAAACACTATGGCCATAACTCTTATAAAGGACAACATTTAGTAGGGGCTGGCTTATAGTTTCAGAGCTTTAGTGCATTATTATCATGGAAAGAAGCATGGCCGTGTGCAGGCAGACATGGTGCCGGAGAAAGAGCTGAGAGTTTTACATCTTGATCCACAGGCAGCAGGAGAATTGTATCATTCTGAGCATAGCCTGATCATAGGAGACCTCAAAGCCCACCCCACAGCGACACACTCCATCCAGCAAGATCACGCCTCCTGGTAGTGCCACTCCCTATGGGCCACGCATTCATACACATGAGTCTATTGGGCTATATTCAAACCCACATCTAATTGCTGAATGGGGTAAAGCTTTAACTGTCTGGTCAGCTGCCAGTTTTAATGAAAACTTAACTATGATGATTAAGTAAATTTTATTGTACTTAATTGTAATGTCCTAATGTTTTTATGAAGATTTTTTTTTAGTGGTATTTTTGAAGAGCCAGGATTCTAGTAGAGGAAAGGAAATTTGTTTGTATGCTTTTAGAAACTTATTGTATGTTGCTGGAATATGCACATATTCACAATATGTGAGACCATATGAAGAATCTTTCTTTTTACTACAAAGTTGCAGATATACAAATTCACTTGGACACATACTTCTTTATTTTGGGGACTTTAAAGTATTACTTGAAAATACCCAAAGCATTTAAAATTTCTTACAAGTCTTCGTAAATACTTTCTTCAGATGATTCTTTTTTCTCAGGGCTTTAAGGAAATCTCAATTATTTTTTTAAGTTGTAAGGAATGAGAGAGTGCTTCTACTAAAAAAAAAATAATAATTCTCTTAGAGAAGAAAGTAATTTAAAGCAACAAGAAGCAGAAGTTAATTTATTTCCTGGAAACTTTATATTGGTGCAAACTCACCCAGTTACTGCAGACCCCTCCTAGTTATCATAATTTTATTTATGTGCATGACATTACATTGACATGAAGTAGAAAGATGAAAATAAGACAAAATTTTTAGTATTAGGGAGAAGAAAGCAGCTTGGGTTTAAAAAGCTAGCAGTTTGCTAATCAGCTGTATGTTTTAGGGGTAGATTATTAATAGAGCCCTGCCTTTGATGATACTCAGAAATGACATGAAAGCAAAGCAGAGAGCCTAGGAGTCAGTCTGTTCATGTCTCAAATGCTGACACTTAGTTGGTTCCTGTTGACGTTCATGTGTGACTTTTGCTGTCTGTCTGTCTTTTTTTTTTAAATTTATTACCCTCAAAGAGCTGGTTTTGTTTTGCTTGCCATTACTGATAACAATTTTAGGAGAGTTTAACAGACTTCATCCCACTGTATAAATGCTATTCCTCTCCCTAATGCTTTAAGTTGCTTTTAAAAGGAGATAATTTTTTTTTTAATAGCTGGAGATTTTTTTCTTTAAAGGCTTTAAGGATTGACCAATACTTAGGTAATCAAGAATGGTAGATCGATGCCAAGTCCTTCCATCCACATTCATGGGGAATGCATGTGACATAGAGCCTGCAGTGTTTTGTAGTTTGGAAATTGTGTTCCTGGACAAAGGAATAGAAAGTAGGGTTGGGGTGTTAGACGGTGGTAGAGGACATGCTTTTAGTAGCATGCACAGAATTTGGAGAGGCGAGATTATACAAGCCCAATTCCCAACCCTATCTCCTTTGTTAAAGGCTAGCAACAGATGGACTCTTACTGACCAGACCATTTTACATTTTCCTTCACTTCACTCGCCTATATTAGGATTTACTTAGATAAAGATACAGAAGACACAGAAGGCTCAGAATCGGAAAAAGACTTAATTTTCATGTCATTTAATAATTAAAAATGTCTTAGCTGGAAGGAAGAATGAATATTGTCTCCAGTCCTTTGTGTTGTCTTACTTACTTACATTATGTTGTTCCTCTCCTTTGAAAGCAGGCTCTGATACTACAATAAAGTGACTGCTGTTCTCTATTTTTCCTTCTTCCTTTTGCCCTCCCTGTGTCTGAGCCACTGTTGAAAAGTTACTACATGAGCCTCTAGAGAAAGATGGAAACTTACTCAGCTAGTAAGAAAGACATGTAAAGAATATCTTGGATTTGATGGAAGCTCTATTTCCTACCGTTCAGTTAGCTGATAATGGGTAATGGTTTTAGTTTCAAAGCAGAGGATAAAATTTAAATGCTGATTTTGAGTGTTGTTTGACTGTTTCTCTCAATCCCTCTACCACCATTTTAAATAGCAACTGTTTCTGCCATGAAGATACCTTTGGTATAAATAAAGTGAATATAAACTAAGTTAGTGACTTAGGGTGAATAGAGTAACTGCCAATAAAACTACTTTTTGGCAGTTTTCACATTGGTTTCATTGGCTAACTTGTTGGCTGTAAAAAGCTTTATTTATTTTAATGCTCAGAAATTATTTTGATATATGTTCAAAATGGCAGTTTTGCAAATGAAACGATGACTTGAAATTTAGGATAGGCTTTGGCTTCATTTTGTACCTTGCATTTCCAGTGTGGCTTGCTAGAAATATTCGAGTACAGACCAAACAACTTGGCATCTCAGGACATTAGAGACAGATAGTATTTCTTGGCTCATGAGCAGTAGTCAGGGAGTAAAGGGAAAGATTTCTTTGACTTGAAGAAGACAGAATCTTTATAATAGAGCCCCAGTAGCCTCATGTCATTCATGATATATTTTAATATCCTTTAATTTTTTTTTTTTTGTTGTTATTCTACCAGGGTGATATACCTTCTGTTGAATACCTCTTGCAAAATGGAAACGACCCAAATGTTAAAGACCATGCTGGATGGACACCGTTGGTAGTTTTCCTTTGTATATTTTTGCAGTGTTGCAACCTCTTTGTTTTGCTCGTTCTTTTTATGCTTATGCTTCTAGTTTATGGTTTGTGGTTGTTCGTATATCATGCTCTGCCACCAACACTCTTTTTAGTCTGAAGAATTTATGCTTTGACCAAGTATGAAAAGAAAGTTATTTTTCATGTAGCTTTTCAGTTGTGACAGGAAAGTAATTGGCTACCTTTTGAGTACTTTTAGATATAGGACTCCAGTTTCACTGCATTGTTGGAAGTCAGCTCACGTGTGGAGGTAACAGTTACAGTGGACATGAGGCTGCGCTGTGCAGCATTCTGTGCCACTGGAACCAAATAGATTTTGGTTTCCTGGGTCAGAGTAGTCAGAAGGATAGGATAACCAGGGAGTACTTGGATCTTGCCTTACACTCTATTCTTTTGCAGAAGCAGAAGTAGAAGGCTTTGTTCTAAACATTTAAAAATGTCTGTTCATGATTGCTTCACATTGTAATGTAAAGAATATTCTGGAAAAAGAATGGAAAACGTACTTGGAAACAGTTTCAACATGTGTTAATGAAGACTGTAAGCATTGGGTTAGAATGCAGCCCAGAAGTGTTCACAAAGGGAGGTCTTTATCTTGTAGACTAGAATTTCAGCATAGAAATGAGTCTCATCAGGCCAGATACAAAATGGCTTAAAGGTATACTATATAAATATGTTAAAATAAATATGTAGTATATATAGGATGACTTCTTGCCAAATTCTTAAGCCAAGAGGTCTTAATCTGGATTCAGTTCATTGTGTTCCACAGTCTAGCTAACATGGTAAAGGAATATTAGCTGTTGCACTTAGTCATGTTCCTTCTCTTGACACTGACACCAGATTCCCAGTAGTGTCTATCAGCAAAGAGATTTATATGTCTTGTAGATCGTCCTAGGATGTCACTCTGTGGGGTGATTATGTGTAAACATTGGTGTACAGTTTGGTGTGTGGACAAAGCACTTAGTTCTCTTGAGCCTTGGCGAATTCTCAATCTCTGTTTGTTTATCTAATGTTGTAATGTTATTGTAGAAGAATGTAGAAGCTGTGGTTGCTCTAAAGCACAGGTTTTCAAGCAAAGCATGTGATCCAAGGCTATCCTTTTCCATGGAGTACATGGATTTTCACCACTGCGTATTTTCCCATGAAAATGACCATAAGTGGCTTTGACTCTGTCAATAGCCAGACAATAGTTACATAAGACTAAGGTGACCGACTTGAGGTTCCCACAGATTCCTCTAATGTGTACTTATTAATTCACTGTTTTCCCATCTTCTTCCCTCTTCCCCTATTTGAAACTTTGTTTGGATTAGCATGAAGCCTGCAGTCATGGACACCTGAAGGTAGTGGAGCTGCTGCTCCAGCATAATGCCTTGGTGAACACCACTGGTTATCAGAATGACTCACCACTCCACGATGCCGCCAAGAATGGCCACATCGATATCGTCAAGGTGTTACTGTCCCACGGTGCTTCCAGAAATGCTGTGTAAGTATCCAATTTTCAAAATAGATTTGTGTTCCTAAATGAAAGTGTGTACTGAAGCATAACTACCTTGTGTCTTCCATAGCTGAAGTTAGATGTGCTGATCAGGGTTGTGTTTAGAATCCACACTCATGCTTTCTTCCTCAAAATTCACACATTTCTGGGAGATTTATTCTCTTCAGAAACAATTTCAAACACATTTATAGACCTTAGTGGTTATATTCTGTAGATTGAGTCATATGTAATGAAAATTAGATATTTAATTTTTTGATACTTAATAAAAATTTGATGTTTAGTTTTTTGTGGTACTTAATACTTAAGACTTATTTTAAATGTTCTGTTATCCCTTTCTGCATATTAGTCCAGCAAAAGTTAAAGTATATGAGAATTCAGATATTAGATGTGCAGTTGAATTATCTCCCAGATTTTTCACATTATTTAAATGAGGCTCTGAGCAAATTGTTTTGCAGTGTCAGGGCACAGAGGAGCATTAGCGAATGCTGGCGGCTGCATCTTCAGATTGCTATTGTCAAGAGGATTGCAAGCAAATGCCGTATGCAGATTTTATATCTTTAATCTGTAACTTGGCTCCTGTCTCCCTATATGTTATTTTACTCTTTTCAGTTAATTAGGCAGTTGAAATGAAAATGCAAGAATTGCTTCTTTGTGCCCTCATTGCTTTGTAGGCTTCAAAAGAGCACAACAGCCTTACCTTGGTAGAGAGATAAGAACGAACCACAACATACAGATCCTCTGACTTGTAATTTTAATAGGTAGTCACTTAACACAATTGAAAAACAATTTACTAATGAAGAATATAACATACCCTAGTACATTTAGCTTCAGCAAGCTTATTAGCCCTTCTTAATTTCTCTGCACAAGTTATAAGGTAGTTGGATCAAACTCTAGGAAAGATTGTGTGTGTGTGTGTGTGTATGTATGTATGTATGTATGTATGTGTATATATTCCCACCTATCTGTGTGTGTGTGTATTTTTTTTTGTTTCTGTCTCTGTATTTGTATACAGGAATTTCATAGAGGTAAAATATAACTATGTGCAGACCTTATAGATATGACCCTCCTGGGGGTGTAGTAAGCCATTTGATAGAGCAACTGGTTGCTTGGGCGAGGTGAAACAGAGTAGCTTCCATCCTAGGGTTCTTAAATCAGCCGTGACTACTTTAATGAATGGAGCGCTGGTCATGTTAGAGAACCCAGCTTTTATTTGTGACTCCATTATTGACTTTATAGCTTCAGGCAGGTTAATTTCTGTGCTTTGGTGTCCTCACCTATAAAACATGGTGCTGCCTGCTGCTTTTCTATTTCTTCAGAGCATAGCGAGGATTAATGAGCCAAAACACAGAGCCTGTCTTGTGGTTTGTACACCATGATTCTTCACTGCACGTGAGGATTTGGTAGTATACAAGGAGTAGGCTCGAGGAAGGGATCCAGTCTGCCTTTATTGGTACTTTCTCAGAGTTCAGGTGCCATTTTGTCATGAGTTGCCTGACCTAGCAAAGTGACACAACTAGGTGTAGTTAGTTTCTGTCTGGTATTCAGGGGCCAGTAGTTATCTATATCTGTGAGGCACTTGGAAATCATCACTCAGAAATAAAGTCTTCAAAGGCACTTAATTTTTTACTAATTTAAATAGCCACATGTGTCTATTGGAGGATTTATTAGGCAAGAGAAATTGAGATTGATGGTGGATAAAGGATAATAGGATAGCTGAAAGTGTCAATTTAATATGGTGTGATTGCTGTCAATAAACATTCTTTCTTTTGTAGACTCCTGGTTATTGTAAAATACTCTCCTTTTGTAGCGTTTGTGTGTGTTAATTGTGTATGAGCTGTTGTTCACTTAGATATCAGTGTTCTGTTGGTTTCCTTTTCAAATTCTTTTTCTTTAATTCATCCCCCATACTGGATAAGTGTGTGTTGAATTAAACTTTGTAGTCATGTTAAACACTATACAAATCTGACCAAGTGACCAAATATTTACTTAATTCTTTTTTCCAGACAGGGTTTCTCTTTATAGCCCTGGCTGTTCTAGAATTTGCACTGTAGACTCAGCTGGCTTCGAACTCAGATTCACCTACTCTTGAGTACTGGGATTAAAGGGATGCATCAACACTACCCAGCTCCCTTTCTTAACTTTTATGTTCTTCAAACAAAAGGCCATTCTACCTTCTGCCCTTTGTACGTGCTAGAACATGTACATTTTGTCTAGAATATTCACTTATAATACCTAATAACGTATCATTTGATATTATCTTAGATTTAATTTCATTTTTATTGTCTTTGTTAATTTCAGATGTCTGTATATGGTACCTTTTTTTTGTCAGTAAAGTTTAGGTTACAGTATATTTTCTATCTGTCTTCTCATTCAGTTACTTGCTTTATGGACCCGGAAGAGATCATGTCAGCTATCCCAGTCTGTATCAGTTACCTAACATAATCAGTACTCATGTTTAGGTGTAGAGTCAGTGTTCAGTGAGCAAAGAAATGCTTCTTCATCTTTCAGTAGAAATTTGGATGAGATTGAAGTTTTGTCAGATTTAAAAAATATTCTTTTAGGATTTTGATTGAAAATGACTAGAAACACCCATTTCAGTGAGTTGGCAAAGTTCATCTTTTACTTGACATTTCTTCCATTTCTTTAAGCATTCTGCTGTGTGTCTCTTTGAAGTTTTTAATCTATTTTGCATGTGTGCATAGACAGATATATCTAAATACCAAAGCTGTTTTAGGTATTTGATTGCTGGATCCCCTAATGAATTAGATGATTTATTAATAGACATAATTCTCTTCCCGCCCCCTCTCTTCTCTTTCTCCCCTCTCCCTCCCCTCCTTCTTTTCTATCTTCCTCTCTTCTGTGTGGGTGTGGTTACTCTTCTGGACACTCTCTGTTACTTCCCTTCCTTAGTGTCCCAGAGTTTATTGAGGTCCAGTGGCTGTCTGTGTGGTGATGGATTTGGAACTATTCATCAGAGTCTGATAGGCTCACCGTGGGGGTCCAACTGAATATTATGCTTTCCTTTTCCCAGAATCCATTAGCTGCTAGTAGTTCAGTGTAAGTGGTATGGGTGGCTCTGTGAGTCCCTTCCCCATCCACAGCTGACTTTTGTGCTGGCCCAGCCTGGATATGTCCAATGCTAGGATGTACAGCTCCTCTGAGTTTATATTTGCCATGCCCACGTTATGCCTAGAAGATGGCATTGTTGTAGCTCTTGTCCCTATTGTCAGGTTGCCATCTTCTTGCCACCACTTCTCTGCCAGTGTTAAGAAAAGGGGTTAAATGTCTGGAGCACTCAGCTGTCCTTTATTCTCAGTATCTTGCTATGTTGTCTTTTTTTTTTTTTCTTAAAAACAAAACTATATTTCGTGCTATTAAATGATTTTCATTTTTATGAGATGATTGCATACTTTGTTTTCATGACACTTTTATATTTTTATTTATTTCAAGACATCCTTATGTTCTGGGATAAACTTGATTGATGCTGTAATATATCTTTTTTTACTGTTTTGAAGCAAAGTCTTGCTTATTGTCCAGTCTAGTCTGTTGAACTCCTGGGCTCAAATCATCTCTTGCTTCAGTCTTAGTAACTGGGCAGTAACTGCTGAGTCAATGACTCATCAGTTTAATTAGTTATTGAGGAAGTCAGATGTAGAAGAAAGGATAGAGCATCTTCTATTGCAAAGCAAATGAGTTTATAGGCATCGTATTGAATGTGGATAGAAGGAAATCTTGGAATGATAGACGGCAAGGCATGCTAGGGATTAGGGATATCCAGGGTAAATGTACATCATTGTTATTCTTTATTTTCTATCACCAGTGGAATCTTCCTAATCCTGTTTCTTCTCATAGAAGCTATACTCTTCAACTAAATTTTTCTATTCTAAGAGTTTTGACCCTAAGTCTTTATAATTACAGAGGAATTGACTAGATGGTAGAAAGTAACGTATCTGCCAACTTTACAGTTTACATTTAGTTTTGAGTTAGCTTAATTTTCTTGTATTTCACTGTTCAGGTCACTTTTATTGGAGTCTTTTATAGTGTGTATTCAACTTGTGCTGTGCAAACTTCATAATATTTTACATTTGTTCTGATTTTCATTTCTCCCTGTATTTACTTGTGGGTATTGTATCTTTTGTGAACTAAGAATTTATCGTCTAAGAAGAAAATTAACTGTATCTTAATCTTGGCTGATGAGAAAGATTATGTATCTTTTATAGTACTTGTTATCCAGTGATTTTTGTACTAATAGTGGTTCAAGCTGCATTTGGTGCTTGTCTTTCTCCATGCCTTCCTTAGAACCCCGTGGAAACTCACAACTGAAATTTATGCTGTCACCTTAGGATTGTTTGAAGTATATTGAAAACTGTTAACACACTATCACTCCTTTCCAAATATAGACCTGTGATTGGTTTCCTGTTACGAACTTTCCCTTGGATGGACATTGAAATCTCAAGTAGAAAAATACTATATGAACCATTGGACCCATTAATTGTCTTCCTACTCTAGTAAATTTTTTTAAAAAAACAGATTATCTACAGCAAAGATATCTGTTTTGTAGCATTAAAAAAGCGTGTTGCTCTTTTGAAAGATAGCTTTTGCCTGCTCAGAGGAAGCAAAGTACTGTGAAAAATTAAGCCTTTGTGATTGCAGATTTATAGTTGTTCATAAAGGATTCATTCGTCGACTCTCCTGACATTCTGTCATGTCTTAGAGCTTTAGTTCTAGTAAAAATGCCTAGTTTATGTTTTTGAATGTTGGGTGATCCACACATATGAACAAAAAATTTTGTTTCTGCATCTCTCCTTTATCCTGTTGCTACAGCTGATTCAGGGCACAGCTGTAGGTAGGTCATCCCTGTATGGGAACAGACATTAAAGGAGTTTATTGTTGTCTGAACACTGCGGTCTGGGTAGAGCTGAAGCCTTCGACACCCCAGGTTAACCGTTCAAGAAGTGAAGTGCACCTTCTTAATCAGTCTTGATGAT